TGCTGCAAAACAAAAATAAAACTTTCCCCGCGGGACTTCTTTAGGCAAATTTATGACTGACGGACCGGAACATCAATCTTATTCTTGCCGCGCGAAAATATTCTTTTTCTAGCTTGAACCGCACGCAAGGCAGAAACAGAAAAAACAATAAGAAAAAATACCTTGTCATTATCGCAAGTAACGGAACTTGATGTTGGAATTTGTCACCGTGGGGACCGTGGGACAGCGATTGGAAAGCACCTACGTGTTTGATGGTTTTGCGGATACATAAAATTTAGCGCCAGTTGTGGTTCGTGGCTGTCCAGTGGACATAAGGCGGAACGAAGGGTGCTTTCGTCGCCATGTGCCACCTTGGTACCGGAACCGGGATATTCCGCTTCGTCGATGGCGACATCTGTCCACCAATCATGAATATTTATAAGAATTTGTTTCCCCGGATTGAAAACCGCCGAGACAAACAAAATATTTCATATCATGCAGCATTTGCAGGTTGGGTCAACGGTGTTGTCCTAGGATCATTTGAATTTGCCGGCGGCCTACTTTATCAGCACGATGCTTACCGCCAGAAAGTCGGCTATCATCTGACGCGCTTCGTCGCGGCGTCCCCACTGCAGGTCTACGCAGACCGAGGGGAATGCGTCAAGTAGTGGGGCTCCTGCACGTGGCCAGCAGGAACACGAAGCGTGCTGTGAGGAGAGGGAATCGGCAGCAGGGAGGCGGCCCAATAAAAACACGAAAGCGAACGAAGCGCAAAAGCGATCTCGAGCGAACGCGGGGGAAACAAAATGGTCGCCGCACACTTTAGTCGAATGGCGGCAGAGGGCGCTTGTGTGACTGTTCCGCCATGGAATAAATTACTTGCGGGCACGGAAAATACGCATAGCATATGCGAGTTGGCTGTTGAGACTTTGTTGTGATATTATTGACGCATTGAAACTTGAAAATCAATAATCTTAATATGAGGTTTGTGTTTTCACTACGCTAATGTTGGTAGGTGGTGCTTGAAAGTGTGCTGCTAACACGCAACACGAGCGCCATGCATAGAATAATTCGAAATTAACAAGGATGTTTAAAGCATGCATTAAATATCGCACATTCCGGGCGATCAAGTTTGCGCTTTGCACATTTTTACAACCGCTTTACGGTCGAGTAGTAAAACAACGACGTAGTCGCGCATCGATTGCACGCCCGGCTCAGCTGAGCTATGCAAATGAGACCGGCTGGCAGTCAGCAGGAATCCTGCATGTATGCGCCCGCCGTCTAGTGCCTGTGCTGGTGCTCTGGATTTTATGCATCGCCAATAGCCCCTTTACGAAACTCTTTTCCATACCGAAACTTACTTGGGAAGCGGTTTTTTATGCCGACAACTTGGATGAACAGAATGTGTGAAAACACAAAAGCCCATTTGCACACACATACCGAGATCGTAGATGATCTGATACCAAACCAGAAGACACTCTTCGTATTGTCACCGACAAAGTGAGGTGCAGAATTTTCGCATTACTGCTATATATACCAATTATTACACGTCCTCGGTACAAATAAAATCCAAAATCTACGCGGGCGCGTTGCGTCACGCGTTTATTGTTATTCAAATTTATAATTCAATTTGGGGGTAATAAATTTGCATAGTGTTGAAGGGTCCGGCGATGTTGGTTTGCTGCGAGTTCTCTCTACGCTTCACTTATACAATGTACACAATCATCTGTTTGTATTGACTGTTTGGATACGCGAACAAGTGGATCTTGTGCGAGGAATCGAAAAATATTATCTTTTGCCTTTCCGAAAATAAATCCGAATGATTCGAGTGGCGATTACAGCAAAATTACAACCGGTTGTAAGACAATCGTCGTGTATAAATAAATAAATAAATAACTGTAGTGGTTAAATTTTTTCCCTTTGGCAGCGACAGCGGCGGCGGCGGCGGCGGTCGCGGTGAGGACGGCGCTAACCAGCCAACAGCCAGCGTATCGACACTCCCGACGGAGGTGTTGTTACCATGGCCACGACGCCTGCGTCGCCGTAGTCACGTGCGCCTCTCGTTAGCGTCGATTTTTGACGTACGCCATCTTATACGTTCGTCGCACTCAGACGCGCGAGCCTTGGGTAAATTTTTCGGGGGCAGCATTAACTGCATCGCATTGAACGAGGACGAGGCGACGCTGAGAGAATGATGAACTTATGCTGGTGCTGCGCGCGACCACCGCCGACGCGTGCACATTAAGAAGCGCCGAAAAGAAAACAACACGCCAACGAGAGGAATTGGTGGTTGGTGGAAAGCTCCGCTGCAGACGCCGACGCCGCCGCCAGAGCGAGAGCGCACGAGAACGTACAAACGATCCGAAAACGTCGTCTTTTCCGGCGGTCGTTCGGCGTCTGTTTGCATCGTTTTTCTTGCCCGCTTCCCGTTTGCTTCGTGCTCTGCTGTGTGTTGTATGTATTTAATGGACGCCTGGACCAATTTTCTCTCATATTGTGCAAAATGTAACCGTAAAAATTTTACTGCACGCCAGAGTCAGACGTCGCGTCGATAAAATCAATTTTTATCTATTGCGTTCATAAAAACGCAATTTCGGTACATCTAGATTCAATCCGCGCCTAGTTTCCTTTGGTTTTGTTCCGAACTAAGATGTAGGAAGCAATTAACACTCTATCTGGCAAAGGATAGTTTCTTTAGGGCTGCCATTTGCATGTAATATACGCACCACCACACCGAGATGGCTGGGTGGGTGTAACGCGGGCGAGCTCGCAACCCGAATGTGGCTAATACCACCACATTGGTACTGCAATCGTGCCTAATGCGAGGGTTGTCGGCGGTGGGTAGTTCCGTCGAACCGGGGGGAAGCGCCCCCGTCGTGTTGGCGGCTTTACACATTGCGCACCCATTACGGTGCGTAAAACCCAACGAATTTCCCTCGGCCCGGCACGTTCTGTTGGTTTAAAACTTTCTATGAATGAACCGGGCGCGCCGCGCTGAAGAACAATGTGATGCAGGAAAAAGCGTCAACCTCGATCGTTATCAGCGCGCTTCGCTCACGTACGCTGCTGCAGCCGAATGCAGGCAGCTGTCGGAATTATAAATTCAAACCTTGAACCTCGTGGCGCGGCGCAGCCGTCTGGGCGCTTCCGCTGCGCTCGCGTTTGGCGTAAAACACGAAATTTTCACGACGCGCATAGTAAGGTGTGTGTAATATGAATAGTAAGTCAGCAGTGGTGGCGTTAGATGAGAGAAAGTGAGTCCAGGTTGGGCGAGGTTAGGTCCACCAGAAGGTCCTCATGTAAAATGCATAAGATGGCGGCTGGGGTGGCACGCCGGCTGCATGAAAATCATAGCTAAACAAAACGACACACTCGCGCGGGTCTGGGAAGCAACACGCGGGATGCGGCAGCCAGCGGACGATATAGTTAGTTATACGTGAGCGAAGATTTCAACTTGCGCGATTCATAAAAACGCAGCACACCGGCGCAGGGAGAAAAAAAGCATGCAAACGTGCCTCCATTGTTTCGCTCAAGATAAAAAAGGCCACGCAGTTCCAAATTCGGTCGGCCAGGAGAGACCTGTGCGGCCCGGAATAATTTTCTCGAATAAAATAAGTTTAATTACTCTTGCGACTTACCGGCGCGGCGCAGTGATCGCTAATTATTTTCCTGGTTGTCCCCTGACTGGTGGGAACATTTGTTGTGTGCGTTATTGATTCGGTTCATGTTACCGACGACGATCATCAACGTCGGTATCAAATAATGATCGCATCGCTGATGATGCTGTTCGCGGGAGCTTTCGGTTTTGGTTTCGTCACACGGCTGGTTCTCGGCGCGCACACGGCGTGTTTACAAACAGGACTCAGTCAGCTGTAAGCGCCGCGCGCTGAATTAATGCTGCATACATTTAAATACATTTACTGCGGTCGCGGCGCGCCGTGCTGAAAATGCGAAAGCTCCACTAGTGCTTTTCGGCGGGTAGCACAACATATTGCGATTGCTGCTTCGCCACGACAACGACTTGTTTTCCATCTCTGCGAACGTAAACGTTTTCATTCGTCGCAAATGCACCCCCCCGGTAATGCATCATGTACGGAAAGATCAAACAGTCTTTAATTCGCCGTATCACGAAAGGTAAGTGCGTAATGCACGCATCAAAGGATACGCACATCGTGTCAAACGTCATTATCGCCGTTACATTAGGACATAAAACAAACCGCCCACGCGCGCAGAGTGCCGAGAGTTGCGCTTGGTTTTCGGCGGACGCGCCACTCAGCGCTCCAACATGGCGAGCGATGATGAAAGCGACGAAAATTGAACCGGCCCGAGTGATACGGAACGAAGCGTCGCTGGCATCGACGGGCCGCATGTTTATTGCTGGAATCCAACTAATGCGATTAAATCGCAAATGCCGCGCCATCATCACATGTCACTCGCACGTGCCCCGGCACCAGAGCTTTGTATTAATATTGCTATTAAAATTTATCCGCACGTAATAAAAAAATGCCCGGATCTGTGGGGTAGTCTTTTTTAAGTGTAACCGCAGATTCCGGCAACAAAAATGTTTCAAAGATCAAGGATCGAATTTTTTTATGATTGGTGGAGGCGCCAACAGTAATTTTTTCAAAGTTGCAAGAGTGGAAAACAACGATTTTATCACTGCGATGCGCTCCGTCTTGCTACGCTAGTCGTACGCATAATATTACTCATGAAGGGCCCATTTGAATATGCCCTATATTTTATTCAATGACCTTAGAACCGCGACGGCATAATAATGCAAAGATCGAACAAGTTATCGCCCCGTGTATCGGTGCGCGCTGCGTACAGTTTAACATAATTAAGTTTAACGGCAATCTTTTCACATTAGGCGCGGAATAAATTTGGCGGCGGTGAAATACGGTGGTAACATTTCGAGTTTCTTGTTGACCAAACAAACGGGCATAAAATTTATGCAAACATGCTGGCGTACATTGAAAACGTGCAATGTGCCATCGAGCGCGGCTCTAAACAGATATCAACGCTCGTGGTTTAGTGTTTCGCGTGTCGTGCGCGCGCTGCTGTAAAAGTGCATTTATAGCGATGCAAGCTGCCGGTGTTTGCGAGCGCGTTTTTTTTTAAATGGCCCGCGCGTCGAGAGCGTACGAGTAGTGACTCGTTTCTGGCATTGTTTCGCGTGTGGCGTGTGGCGGCGCGCCTGTTTTGTTGTAAACGACCTTTTTGTTGCTCGCTGTCTGCTTGTCCACCAAGTGGCGGCGTGGCGCGGTGGCGGCAGTGGCGTGCGCGCGCGCGTGTGTGTGTTTAGACGAACTTGATTCCTAGCGGGCTATAACATATCGATTACTTTCCCTGAGTCGGGGAGGGCTGCCGCCCCCGCGCGCGCCTGGCATGGCGTCGCATGCAAATCAGCATGGCGGCGGCGCCGCGTCGGCCCCGCGCGCCGTCCGTCGTACGCGCCGAGCATTACAAGAAGCGAAACTCTAGCAGCTCACAACAACTGCACAACCCGAGCGACATTTTGTCTCGCCTCGCTTTCAAGAAGGAAAATGTAGGTACTACTACTGCTGCTGCTGCTGCTGCTGCAGCTGAGCGATTTTTATTTGCTGGACTTTCGATGATGATGGCTCGTCTTACTATGATTGGCAGAGTAATGATGGACCGGGAACAAAGCCCGTCAACGAGAACAACGGGATAAGTTATGCGTATATAACGCAGCGCGCTGCGTGCGTCGTCGGTTGGAACAATTGATTAACTGTTTCCTGGACGGGTACGCATCCATCACACACCGACAGGCCGTACGCGGTGCGCGCATAACGAGCACGATAAACCGAAAATATTCCAACCATCAGCCGACAACCCCGCAACAAGATCAATAAGCAATCAAAGATGGCCAAATAAAATAAGAAGCGAGAGAATGTGATAAAAAATCACGAGACTGAAATATACGGCAAGTCAAAATCAACGACGCGCAATGTGTTTTCCTTTCTTTATATTAATAATTTTCACGCATGCCCGCTCTTCGTCCCCATTAAAATCTCTTTGATATTGAAATCATGTGACGTTTCATTAATTTCGTGTCTTCTTCGGCGTATTCTTAGTACGGCAGAGGCGTCGCGACGCCTCGACTCGGCGCCTGCCATGTCTCTTTTGATTTCGAGCACTCTTCACACCGCCACCAGCCAAAAACCAAAGAGTACGGAGGTTACATGCATAATAAATGTGCCCACAACGTAAAAACGAAGCGAGAAGCGAGAGGCAGGCGTGTGCGTAATGATTTAGAGATTACTTTTAGTGTCATCGAGGGTGGATTATTTCGAGTTCGACACCTCTGTCCGACGATTGCGCACGATTTGCGTTATCAGATGATGACATTTGACGGTTTGGTGGTGTTCAATGGACAGATGGACGGGGTGTCGCGATAAGGTGGCGATATTCGCGGCGCGTCGTGGCGTGGTGGCGGAACCGCAGCCTGCACAATGGACGAACCCGCTCTAAGAGGATTAGGTGCTTCGTAAATGGGAGCGCGTTTCTCACCCGGACCGAAACACGAGGGGTGTGCACGGTTTGGGATTCAAAACGTACATTTGAGTTCTTTTATTGTCGCAGTGCTAATATTTTGATAAACATACAAAGATGTCGTTATTAACACACGTAGCTAAAAATTCAAGGGATATTTACTGCTGAACTTTTGTTTTGCTAGTGGGAAGCGTAGAAAATATCGAAAACTTATAGGAAAAGGGGTCTGACGACGCGAGAGGGTTAGCACGCGGGGATTAAATGATTATGAAGTAGATATGGTCCATTTGTCATCCTGTCTACGATGGGATGTGCCTACGCCGGCGTTCCGGGGTTTGCACAGCGCATTAAAACAAAAGGACTTTAAGTTCTCATCGCGTATCATTAGATGCCAACGCCGCCAAAGTTATTTTTTCCTAGAGTAGTTTATTTTTGTTAATAAACACACGCTTGCGTTATCTACGTGGAAACAGTGTTGCTAATGAAGTCCGTATAGGAACTCCCAAACCACAACTAAACTAATGCGATACCTTCCAGCGTCACACTCTACTTATTAAACCCAAATGCATGAAAGCCAGGGACGTAGGAAGAATATTATATCCGATATTGGCGAGCCGAGCGGCTGATTCACTGATTTGTCCACCTCGCGAGGAATCCAGGTCGAACAAATGTAAATCCCAATTAAGCTATGTCCGGAACGTAAGCCGACTACCCAAGTGGGCCGACTGGCCGACCCGGCCACCCTTTGTCTCCGCGTCCACGCTGGCAGTGCCGCAGCAAAGACGAAGGAATCCGGCGAGGACAAGACAACTGATTGATTCCTCCGCGACGGGCCCTCGTCCGTCGGGCTCGTAAATTAACCTACCCGTGTGCATACTATACACATTCCCGATCGCCAAAACGAGTGTTTGCTTCGTTCTCTGCTGTATAATGAGCATGCCCGCACAACAAAAGGATCGGATCCCACATTTTCAAATTTTACTACTCGCCGTGAACATTTCGTGATATTTATTTATATTGTTGGTGCGCGCCGCGCGCTTTGATTTATAGTTTCGGTTCGGTCGGCTGGTTCGACGGACCAAAAGTTAGCGCTTTAACGTTCCTCGGTAGGACGACGGTGCACACATGTCAATGAAATCTACTTTTGCAAACCGCGAAGTCTTCGCCGTGCACCCGCCATCCTCAGTATGTGAGTGTGAGTGTGTGTATACGATTGTGTGTGAGGCTGCTTGGCATTTTCCTGCGCAGCGCGCGCGCGGTCCGACTTCCTTAACGTATGCTGTCTCTGATGCTGCTGCGCTCCCGGCTTGATTTATGGCCGACTTCGGAAAAGAAGGCCCTAGAAACGGACCGAACTAAGAGAAATAAAGAATCGCGAAATAGAATACCGGGTTATTTAGATCGTAACAAATCATTCTCTATTTTTTTCCTTTTTTCTTGTGCTGCTGCTTCCTCTGTCCTTTCGTGTGCATACACTTTTTGCATCGACAACATTAGTCATTTTTATCAACGCGTCCATTACAATTACAACGGGCTAATAAGTTATCCTGGATATTTCAGCTTTCAAGCCCGGCGCTTCCACATTACCTCAGTTGCTAAACAAGTGAGCTTTATTATAATGCGATGGGTAAATTGCATTTTCAGTTCCTTCTTGAAGGCTCTACTTGTTTATCTCCACCAAGATTAATGTGTTTGTACGCTGTAGTTAGACAATAATGACAGGATTTATTCTCGCACGCGTCCAACGTCACTAATGTTTGTACATTCGGACGGATTAAGCGTAGAAGGGTCCAAATGCATTTGATTCTTAAAAATTAATTAGTTTAATGTTGCGTAATAACAACGCCGTTTAAAAAATGTGAAACGTGACTGTCGATAGTAATGTGCTCTTATTAGTGCATAATTTGTACACAGTGGGCGCAGGAAGTCCTCTTCAGTCCACGTCGATTCGATTCGGGGCGAAAAAGGGTTAACGGCATTAAAGTCAGCTGGCGCGGCGTTGTTCCGGCCGAGCACGGATTTTATTTAGTGTCGAGACGTCTGTGTTTTATTGGCGATAATCTCTTCTTAACTACGTCGAAAATCTTTGATATTTACAAATGTTTGCGGACGGACAACAACTCCTCTCATTGCATCAAATAATTCAAATCGCACACTCGCTGAAAGTTGAAGCAAACAAACAAAATTGCAAATGCAGAAGCAGAAAAACGCAAGTCTGCAAAGAATCGGAGCGTTTATAGTGACGGCGATGTGCGGGTGGGTGTGGGATGCGAGAGCCCGGGTCGTTGGTGGTGTTGCGGCAGCGGTGAGGATACATTCGGTCGGTTCGGTCGGTTGGTGGCGGTACAGCAGGAAAACATTGATACGTATCAAATCCTAGAATGGAAAGGGAAAGCGCGGCCGCTCATGAATATGTATGGCGAAATACATGTGGGGCCGGGTGAGTCACCCCCATCTGCAGCCGCCCGCTAGCGCTCTCTCTGCTCGCACGAACCGCTCCACAAGCGCACAAACGCTTGTACAAAGGAATACTCTCGATCTATCTATCGATATGATGGATACACGCTGAGGGGGGCGGCGGGCAAACATTTTTCCTCAAGGCATGCAAAATATCACCGACTTTTTTTTATCATATTTTTTATTCCGACTGCCGAGTGTGTTGCGACTGCAGAAATGTTTTTTCAGCGTTAGGTTCATATTTAAACTGCTCAAATTTGGAATTTGGTTTAGTGGTAGTAGTGCGCACTCCGGAGAATCTTTCCAACACTTTGGTTTCTTTTTTTTTTTTTTGATTTCGGCCTACTCTCAAATATGTTTCACTTTATACTATAACTTTCTTGTCAGCATTCTGTGCGCGAGTGCATTAACGCAAGGCCTATATCCAAATTCATAATTTAAACATGGCAAAGTTCCGTCTTATCCCCCGGGGTAATGACACTTTAAAGGAACACGGGTCCCCTGTAGATTCGCGTCGCTTGCGTTTGGTTTAGGCCTGTCTCGTCCTTTGATGTCCATCGTTACGGTCTCACACCTTGTAGAGTGTCCGCGAGTCTCAAATTTCATAAAGAAATATGACACTTTTTAATTCTCTCTGGAGTTGCACTTTTACACCCCTCTAATTGAACTGTTGATTCGGGTATTAATACGCAATTTCTGCACGTTTTTTGGTATTGATTTTTTAATGTTGCGTTATTTTTGCTAGTGAGTGCGATGTGTGGCGTAAACACACACCAGCAATAGGTGGAGCAAAAGGGGAATTTAGGAACAGTGTCACCGGAGTTGGGATAGTTGAAGACGACGTGCCCGGAGTGTTAATTAGATGCGCGTCTCGGAATCGATACAGTCGCCCACTGGCAGTGGCAGTGGCAACGGTGGCGGCGCAAGCAAACCTCGGGACGTACCTAATGTAAAACGATTGCGCTAACTATCACATGTCGATGAACTCTCTCTTCCCGCTTGTCGCTGTGGATCCGCAAAAGAATAAAACTTGAGTCGGAAAATTCGCAGCAGTTGTCGCCCGCCGCCCCCCTCGTGTAGTTGCGGTGGTGTACGAAAGCAGAGCCGCGACACGGAGCACATAATCTCGGATTTGCGGTGAGTTCTGAGATTTGCGCTCGCGATCGTCGAGACTAGGAAGGACTAGGCGGCAATAGCTTCGGAAAGGATCTCCAAGTTTGAAGTTCATAAATCCCATAAATAAGCGTCTCATTTGCAAGGCAGATGGGGCTGCCGCCGCCGCCGTCGCTGCTATGTTGCACTCGCAAGAGTGCCAAGGCCGCGCCGCTGCCAACATTGCGCGCGCTCTCACCTGCCTGCTGTGTGTATAGCAGCGGCGGCGGCGAGCTGCGGGCGCCCTTCCGTCTGGCGTTTGCACGCGTGCGACGCGCGCTGCTCGCCGCCGCGTCCAGGTGGTGTGTGACGACGACAGCGCACATCTCGGATCGTTATTCGTCGTCGCCACCCTCTAATATCCGCTAATGGTCTTCGCTACAAAGACGACCTGTCGTTGCTTCTGATTCCTACTGGCATACACGCACGCGCGGCACGCACCGCCGCAGTGACGACGCTTCCTTATTTGCTCGTGCCGGCGACCAAATTGTGCCGCATCTTTGCGCCGAAATAACATGACCTTGACGCCTCCACTACTGCCTGTATCGCTAAAACTACTTAATATGAGAGAAAGGTCAGACTCGCGTCGATCGATATATGAATTATTCAATAGGGGGTAGAAAGTGAATGAACTTTTTCCTCTTTGTTATGTTTCCATACGTTGATCCAGTGCCGCGAGATGTGCACAGATCTAGCGCAACAGGACTGGTAAGTAATATGGCAAAGTCGCGTAATGCGCAACACGACAATCCTACTCTTTACCGGCATTTTTGTGCGGCAACGACGCGTGAACCGGGGGATTGAAATGTAACAATGCCATAGTTAATAGAAGAGGTG